AATTTATCATTTGGTTTTATTTTGCGTAATACCGAGACAGGTRATATCCAATACTTTCATGCCTCAGCAAATAACAACAGAGTCTTAGATGCGCCCTTTCAAGTTGGAAATGAGAATGAATTACAACAGCTCATTGAGCAGCTTCAAAACATTGACTTTATTGAGTGGATTGGACAACAGCGACCAAATACAAAGTTTGTTGTGGATTGGGTTACGAATGTGGCCTTTTTTGTAACGAAAGTACGTGGGYATCCAATTGGCAGATCAATCCTTCTRCCAATGTTTATCAAAAGAAATATGTCTATTTTATCTCTGGAGTGTGACGCGAGAACTGGACTTCCTTATGACGACTGGCTTTGTTTCTTCCGCTGTTTAGCTATTCATCGCGGTGCTCAGYTCACAAATCTGGAAACGCATTCAAAACACTATTATCAACAGTAAGTGYTTATTTGAATTTGAATTATTAAATATTCATTCAATTATCTATTCATCTTAAATCTTAAGCTTCCTTCTTATCAAACTTTTAAAATATTTTTATAACACTATTATATCATTAATTCATRTTTTATCTTGTTTTTAGAWATCTTAATCAAATGGGTGTTCAAGCTTCCCGATTTAAAGGYGTCAGTCTGGAGGAGTTGGGTGATCTCGAGCAGCTCTTTTCAACCAACATAGTCGTTTATAGTTTAAACCATGACGAACGTGGCGATGACGATAACGACCAGCATTTACCTCCAGTTATTGTTGCTTCATTGGTCCGCCGCTCGCACCGTCATTATCCGGAAACCCTGTACCTGAATCTTTANTCCTGATCATTGCATACCGTTCGCTCTGAGTGATCCTGACGAAAAGGATTTTAGAACTGACTGCCGTCACCAACACAACCTCGTGTGCACCGATTGTCAATCACTTGTAGATACCATCCACGCTATTAAATCAGAGCAAAGCACTCATCAGTACTCGGCAAGGAAAGAACAGGCGATTTGGAATATGATGCAAACTCGGCCTCTTCAAAGATTTTCACTTGGAAAGCGCATATCATCCGTGCTCAAAATCAAGAAAAAAGCAAGCATGCAATACTGGAGTCTCTTGGAATAGAAGAGGTTCTTATCATTGTCGATTGGGCAATRAAGTTTACTGCTCAATTGTTCAGAGAGAAACAAGAAGAATGGTATGCAMAAAGAGGGATGAATTGGCATATCAGCAGCGTCATCTTCAAGGAGGACCAGAAGTTAAAAGTAACTTCTTATGCCCATCTATTTGACAAATGCATACAAGATTGGTACGCTGTTCTTTCCATCTTGGACAATCTGCTATCAACCATCAAAGCAAGTCACCCTGCTATAACCAGAGCTTATTTCAGATCAGATGAAGCAGGATGCTATCATAATAGCAAGTTGATGGCATCTCTTCAACACCTAGGAAAGAGGCATWACATCACAATTGTCAGATACGACCACTCAGAGCCTCAATTTGGAAAGGACGTTTGTGACAGAATATTGTGTCCCATGAAATCTGCAATCAGGCGATATTGTAATGAGRGCCATGACATTGTTAGCGCTGAAGATATGCATACTGCATTAAAGGAAAGGCCAGTGGAAGRTACTACGGCATCCGTTTGCGTCATTCAAGAACAGAACCTATCCTTACAAATAAAAAAGATCCCAGGTTATTCTTCGTTTCACAGTTTTGAATTTACATCTGCAGGGCTTCGTCTTTGGAAAGCTTACAATGTAGGCTCGGGCAAACTTATCCCATGGAATACTGTAGTAATGGAACCTCAACAAGCCACACTCCTAAAAGTCGACGTTCCTTTCTTCCAATTCAAATCGAGGAATGTAAAGCAACGGAAAAAGGAAAATAATCAAGACAAGGAGGAAGTTGTTAATAAATATGAATGCTGCGACCCCAACTGCAAARAAGAATTTGACAGTCGTGGTGATCTTGATGTTCACATGGCCTTACTAGGACATAATAATAATGTAAATGTACCCCAGGTGAAGGAGAGCATTTATGATAATATTAAGAGGGATTGGGTACAACACTTTCTTTTGAGAAGGGGAAGAGTAAAACGTCTGGTGCCAAGTACAATAATATGGGATGGGCATTTCACAAGAGCCGAGCCAAGACTCGTTTTCCTGACAATGTCCGCAATTATCTACTGAAGAAGTTTCAAATAGGACAAAAGACAGGGCGTAAAGAAGACCCTGGCCAAGTAGCTCAGGACATGAGGAAAGCATGCACTGCTGATGGAGG